TGGTCCGAGCCGCGCCCCGCGGCCGTTCCGCTTCGCCGACGCCCGCAAGATCACCTCCTCCGCGTCCGCGTCCACGTCCACTTCCGTTTGCCGCCGTCCAAAGGCCGGAGCCGCTCGGGCCTCGGGCTCGAGGGCGAACAGGGCCCGGTCGTCGGTGGAGATGAGGAAGCGCTGGGCGCGGCTGGCGAAAGCAGCGTCGCTTAGCAGCGCGGCCAGCCGCGTCGTGGTTGGCGTGGCGACCGAGTGGAAGCGCAGCGAGAGCAGCCGGGACGCGAGCGACGAGCTGAAGTCGGCGGGAAGACTCAAGTTGACGCTGAACCGAGGCACTAACGCGTGCAAGCTGACAAGAAAAGGGGGCCAGAGACAAAGTGGAAACGTTACTTTCGCGTTCAAGCTGGCCTCTTTTGGAAGCGAGCTGCCAGTCCCTCATCTACCGCAGCCAACCGGGTTGGGGTATGGTGTGGTGGGGTGAGGTGGGGTGAGGGGAGTAGAGCTCCGAAGGGAATTGGGCTAACATAAACTGGGACGGAGACGTGTATAGATGGACGGAGAGATTCGAGTGTGCGTCTGTAGCGACTGCACGTCGCAGCACAAGAAGCCTCTGTTCGAGTCCCGCCGACGGGGCCAATGAGACGCGGAGGATGCATCCGGATCGAGAATCCCTTTTGGGAGGCATGGCTGGAGGCAAGGAGAGGCCTTCTCACCTGCTCGTGGGCAAGTTCGACTGGCATTGCCTCGTCCTCGTGCGCGAGATCCGAGAGGGCTGAACAAGAAGAGGAGACGGCTGGGACAGCCTCGAGTCGGGTCAGCGCTCCACACCTCGCACAACCCCATCATGGCATGCCTACAAACATGCATACATACAAGCAGACAGCTCGCACAAAATACACTACAACATGACTCAGCAGGCGTCAACGTTGGAGCTTGATAGGCTAGTTTTGTTTGGTTGAAAAAAACAGTTGCCACCGTGTCCTTTTCCCTCTGCATGAATCGACTTCAAATAGCTGCTGACATGCCGCGGGAAACGAAACTGGCCAGCCGAATGGTGGCATGCCTCGCCAGAGTCACAAAGCCGGTTAGTGAGTAGTAGTGAGTAGGCTTGAAGGCAGCCAGCTCTTCTTTTTATTGGTTGATTGTTGCTCCTTTTAGAAGTTGTTTCACCTTGTTTTCGCAACTTGGTCATTTTGGTAGGACGACTTAGAGGAACGCAACTGGTCAGGAGTCCATTGTCTGCATGATCATTTCCAAATGTACCACGTCCACGGTTCAACTTTGGAAAGTTTGTAATGTCGACTTGGGACTGCTTAACGAACCGAGACAGACTGCGAATACAAAGTTAAACAGACGCTTTACAGAAGTTGTTTTACCTTGTTTTCGCAACTTGGTCATTTTGGTAGGACGAATTAAAGAAACTCACCTTGTCCGGAGTCCATTGTCTGCATCAGCATTTCCACAGTCGGGCCGTGGACGTGGTACATTACCAGACGTTTCGCCGGCATCGTCAGTGAGTCTCGCCATTCATAGCGCCATATTAGAACTCGTCAAAGCGACTCATCATGAAGTCTGCTTTCCCTCTCGCGCGATGTCTGCCACTGCTTCGTGTAATCCAACAAGCCAGCAAATCCGCGCCAGC